CATCACAGAGAGAAGTCCCCATAAAATCAAAGCAGCAGAATAGTTGTGGTTCTGAAGAGGTCAGTAACTACCTACCGGTGTGCCAAGCAAACCTAGCAGAGCATCTTACTCCACATTTCAGTCATTCCCTTTACGGGCTGTTGTTTGCTTCTTTTCTACAAAGCACATTCTTCTGATTCTGCAGCAGAGATGATTAACTCTTTCAACTCACCCTCCTTACTGATTTAGTCCCATCCCACCACCTTTGACCCACCAGCCCCACCAAAACCTTCTACATCCCCCTTTCAGACACAGCAATACCTCAGGCTGATGACTCCCAGTTTCCTAAGCAGTAAACGCTCTCTGTTTTGATCCCAGTTCCTTCCGAATCCTCCTGCAGGCAGAGCAGTCGCTACTCCAGGCCCTCAGCAGATCCTCTGCACAAGTACCCAACTAATCTTCCCTCCCTTCCCACAAACACCACTTGCTTCTTCATCCTCAGCTGCCAAGAGGGTAGGGTGGTCTCTTCTGCATATCTCAGGAAACCACAGCTCTTCGCAAACAAGAAAATTAATCCCCGTCCTTTTTGCTAACACCCACGCCACTGCTAATTATTAGAAAAACACGTTCATAAAATAAAAACGCAACCCGGAGAACACACCCACCACCCTCTACAGCCAAATCCCCAAATCCAACAGACACCTGAAGCACCACAAGTTAAGGGGAGGAGGGGATCCAGCCGGCCTCTCCCCACCCACCGGCCTCCTTTGTGCACCCCAAATCCGCCTCCCCCCCCCCTCCACGACAGAGGGAGCGGGGAGCCCCCCACCCACCGTTGAGGGAACCTTCCCACTGGGGAAAGGCCTAAAGGCCGCGGTTCCCTCAGGAGATGAACAAGGAGGGGGGGGGTGTGCTAGAATGACCGTTAAAGGGCCGTTAAATGAGGGGCGCGCGCCCTCCCCTCACACGCGCGGACGCGCGCGTGCGTGTGTGTGTGTGAGGGGAAGGCGCGCGCCCAGGCCCGGCGGGAACCACGCTGAGGCGGGGGGGAGGGGGAGTTTTTCGGTATCCGTCGCGGACCGATCGCGTTCGCCGGTGGCTTCTCACCTTTACCGACGGGGGAAGCGGCTCCTCCTCAACCTCCGACCTTTGACCTTTTACGCGGCCGTGAGCCCGTTTTGTTGTTTGTTGTTTTTTTTTTTTTAAATTTACCTTGGGGGGGTTGTTTGGGTTTTGGGTGGGGTTTTTTTGGTTTGTTTTAAACACCACCGCCCCGCTTTCCTGACCCTAAACCTTGCCGCTCGACACGTCGTTCCCGGTCCGGTTTAACCCACCCCCTCCCGCCCTCCCCCCGTTGCCGCC